GCAGTTTATTATCAAATGACGCGGGCCACAAAGCTACAAGCACATGAGTAAGTATCAGCGAGCAAGCGCGAGCAATTACATGGGCAAATTTATAGTCAAAGCAAAAGCTTATAATAGGATTTGAGTGCATACATATACAGGGAGGAGGATGAATCATCGAATGATATTTAAGCAATCAACGTTTTGGCTAAAGTCTATCATGTGCTCTAGTGATCATAACAGTACAAAGATATATGCGAATTGTCACTATCCAAATGACAATGTCTGTTAAGTAAGTTAATAAAAGGGCTTAACCAAAATTAACCATAATCGATATTGGTTGTAGGATAGTTGCTATAAGACTTCTAAATTAAACATATTGGACCATATTAGAAAAATTACTTGAAATTCAAAGTGCTAAAAACCGATCAGAACAGTTAATCAGTGGTTTATTACAACATAAACTTCTTCAAAAGAATATAACGAATTCATTCTTTTTTATACTAGAAATGGCTTTTCTTTTCATTTTAGTTACAAAACAGCATCCAAAATTAATCTGCTTATTCACATTTATGTTTCTAAATATCACTATTCCGACCCCCACCCCCACCCCCGAAAATCTTGATTTACGAAGATTTCAATATGAATTCCCATTCATAAATCCAAATTGAATAACTTAGTATTATTTAGAATTAGTTAAGTGTTTTTGTACAAAATTATGTAGTCATTTGTTTACTACATTTAAGCAAGAATACATCTAAAAAAATATAAACAGCTAATTGTTCAATAGAGTCATTGACGTAGATTGCTAATTGCAGACGACTGACTACTTCCTGTCGAACATTTAACAGTGGAACTAATTAAACCATTACGGTATATATATACGGTATATATATATATATATACATGAAAATTGCAACACGTTTTCTGGAATATGCGACACTCCTGTTAGCTAACAACTCATGCGCATCATACTTTGAATAGTTAGCTCAGTGGTATTGATTTACACCCTACTGGTTTCGTCACTAGTCATGAATCTATTATTTTTCATAATTAGTATGGCGATTAGCAGTAATTTTAGCGTACAGTTTCAGTTTAATTATATCTTCATTATATCAAAAAAAATATTTAAAAGGATTGAATAAAACTAGTTTTCATATCCATATATATACTGCTAGTAGATTATGCGGTCTCATTATAAACACGTATTTGCATACGGTTTGGTTGATTTACACTTGACAAAATAGACAGTTCAAATTATGAGACTAACATGTAACCTGCCGATAATTATAATTGCATATAACAGTGATAATACAAACTCAATGATTATAATATGGTAGATAAATCGACTACCTACTAGGAACATCAATCCATGAATAAATACAAGTACAATACTATAAACGCTAAAGCGTTTAATATGAACCACAATTTTTTTTCCATTGCCTATATTACAAAATAACGATTGTTGACTATCTGTTTCAAAACTATGAGAACCAAACATCTTTTTCATACTAGTTTAAAACTGGTCAAAAGTGAAGTTCGAAGTATGAGCCAGTAGATAATATTGTATTTCTTTAATGGTATTTATTTGCCAATATATGTTATTGCATTGACCTTTATCTTATTTAACGTTGTGAAAGAGCGACCCTGATAGATCCTATAGTTACAATGTGACGTTTTTAAACTTCTTAGTCATGTGAAAATTCTTAATTTCGCTACCGTTTGAAACCAAACTTTTTGGAATAATCTATATAATGTGGGGAACCGTTTTAATGACACCCAGATTACTAACTGATAAATAAATTTCAGCAAACTGATTTAATACATAATTAATTCAGTTCTTTATATGCACGCTCTTATCGGAGTGTCTACATTATTTCAGTAATCGTTTTGTTTGTATCGGGTCCTAAGTCCACGTTTAATAATATTTGGTTTCCTTGAAGCATATCCCTTTAAAACGTTCATCTAATGAAATATGTTCCATAGTTCACTACCTATGACTGTAAGATAAGTGGGATTAAACTTATATATTTACTGATTACCTTTCTTCGGTGTATACAGATGAAGGTTCAAAGTTTTACTGAGTAGTGTAGAATGAGTAAACATTTACATGAATAAATAATTTTTAAATTATTAATTTATTCATTGTTCAGTATGACATTTTATTAGAATGACTATGTACTGCATAACGGTTTTATTGCTACTGTGAAAAAGATATTTAGTTAGTTAAAGGTATGCCCATTTTAGGCAATGTAAGGTCATTATGACCAACAGAAATCGTAAACTTTCCTTGCACCATAAGTAATTTTGTGTTTGTATCACTATATAGCATTCTCTGTAACGTTTTAAAAATATCCTGTCAGTATTGATGATTGTCCAGCCAGAATGTATCGCTATAATATAATTATAGAGAGTTCTGCCACCCATCAATTATGTTGAAATAACAAGAATATATTTGTTCAGGGGAACTAAAAATCACTATTTTTATTTGCACAATTAATAAAGTTATATTTTGGAACTTATTTTATGGACTCAATTTTCTTCTTGTTTGTATGAAATAAACTTAACTCATCTGCAGAATAAATAAAACTCAAACAGTACTGTAAACCAACTTCTAAGTTTCCAACCTGGTTAATAGTGTAATCGATTAACTATAAAACAAATTGATAACTGCAGTTATGATGCAATTCACTAGAAAATTTCTACCTACCAGAATAATGAAAGACCTTGTAATGAGTTCCATGTAAGATGTTGGCTATTTACTCTCAATATGGTAGAAGTGACTTTTCAGTATATTTAAGCTAGACGTATACCGTGAATTTCAAGTAATCATAAATGTATACAATCTATCAAATTTATGTGTAACATAACGAAGCATTTATATTTATTTCCCGTTACAATAAAAGCTGAAGAAACATGAATAAGATATTTTGTTATTTTAACTAACTTATGTCATTGCTGCTTATTTACTAATAAGCGATACTCGTTAATCATAGTTAATTAATCAGTGAAGCCTACAGAATGGAATTAATACTGTTGAATATTACATTTTATTATGACATTTATTTTGATCAGTTGCAGTCCTAAAGATCAATGGAAAAATTCAAGTAAACAATACCAATTGAAGATGGATAGTGGCTAGCTGTGGAATCCAGAAAGCGCGTTTCCTCCTATTTAGGACTCGTCAGTTGGATGTGCCTGCATCTCAGAGTTTCAAACAAGAAATGGCTATCAGGACTCAGTAGCTGAGTGGATAACACGATGGTGTTTGAAGCGAAAGGCACTGGGATCGAGTTCTAGAGTGAACATCAATTCTGAGATGCAGGAACATCCAGCTGACGAGTCCCAAATAGGACAAAGTGACGCGCGTTCAGGATTCCAGTGCTAGCCACTATCCATCTTTGCTTACAATGCTTGTGAATTAAGGCTATATCGAGGCAATACGCACATTATGCACATATGTCAATTACAGACTGACCAGTTGCAGTCCTAAACATCAATAGGAAGATTCAAACAAACAATACTAATTGAATTTAATACCAAGTGAATTTTAAAGTTAGTTAAGTTACATGTTTGCTATTAACATAATATCAAAGCAACCTTTTTATTTATTTCCCCATCATTTCTTTTTCGTAATCATTCTATAAGTAATACATAATTTCAAATTCTATTTGAGGTCAATTCATCTTATAAAAAATGATAAAAATTTATTGTTTATTTTTTATATTTTATAGCAACAAAGTCTCTTCTCTTCATTGTTGTTTGTTTTTCCAAATTAATTCTAACTTAAAAATAACATTGTGAGCTCATGACAACAATAATAATGTACACATGGTGTTTTCTTTCTTACCATTATTGATTATATACTAGAGTTATTTTTTACAATTTAATATACATTAATTTATTTTAAATTTTGTGACTGGTAACAACTGTAATTTTTATTCTGAATGAAATGATTACAAATTAGTTAAAATATGCATTGTGGGTGAATGGAAGAAGATTTGTAATTTGTTCATATATTTTACTATTCAGCTAAAAATGGTAACAACCTTGTGTTCATTTGTCCTAAGATTACTATTTTTTTAGATTCAACGGAAATAATTTGTAGCTTTGGTATATGATCTTAATGATGTGCTTTTAACCCGAATGGTATAATTAAAATAGATTCACTACCGTTTCAGAATACACCATGCAACCCCATTTGAAGTATACGTGAGCATTTTAATTATTTTATAAACTTTCGGTATTTTTGTTCTCATCATAATGTTTCCATGCAATGTTTGCTTGATGTTTCTTTCCTTTCCTGGTGAATGTTTTCTTCGGTTAACTTCTTAAAATATTATCGATTATTATGTAACATGTGAATAAATAATTTAGATCTATACCAATATATGTAACGCCTACGAAATAATCTTGATATCATTCATCTATAAAATTTTTGGGTTTACGTTATCCTATATCCAGTATTCTGATACTCTTAGAATATATTTTGGGACTGTGAATGATATATGATTATACGAAAACTTGAAATGACAGAGTCTACAATGCAGTCACAAGGACAGATAGATTCGTTTTGGTTGTTAATAACTGAATGACTCAAATTTATATGAAGTAGATAACATAGTAGTAAAAGTATTGTACTGTTGAATTCACTTAGTATTGTTTGTTTGTATCATCCCATCGATGTTTAGGACTGCAATTGATCAGTCTGTAATTGACATATGTGCATGCTGTGTGCATTGCCTCGATATAGCCTTAATTCACAAGCATTGTAAGCAAAGATGGATAGTGGCTAGCAGTGGAATCCAGGACGCGCGTCTCTTTGTCCTATTTGGGACTCGTCAGCTAGATGTACCTGCATCTCATAGTTGGTGTTCACTCTGGGACTAGAATCCAGTACCGCTCGCTTCAAACGCCATTGCGTTGTATTGTTGGTAATTATTTCTTTGTTTCCTATACAATATGATAAATATATTTAGAACAAAAAAACTTGCCTCTTTTATTCACTCTTTATAACATACCTATGACAGCATTTAAAATATTTTGATAAATTTATCTTTGAACGTGGTAAATTTTCACCAGATTCATAATTGATCATACATGATGCCATTGAATTACATTTTTCATTTCTATTCTCATGTGTAATAAATTTTCTTAATTCATATTGTTGGTGTTGGTGTTGTTGCTGGTGCTGTTCTGTTTGTACATGAGTTGATTGTTGATGATTGTGAATTTTATGTATTGGATAATAATCTGTTGGATTATTGAATAAAATATTACTAAAATCAAAATCACTATCACCTCTTTTACATTCACATAATGATGTGGATGATGAATGAATACAAATATTAGGACAATTATATTGATTATTCTCTATGATATGCTCACAATTTCTATTTATTACTTGTTCATAATTTACTGGTTGAATAGATGGAATGTTTTTAGTTGAAGAAAATGTTTTTAATTCAGTCATTTGATTATTACTATCCACATTAGTATTATTATTACTAGGATTACTTATATATATAAAATGTGGTACTGTTTGCAAGTAAGGTATTGTTTCATTTTGTAATTTACACAATGGTAATGTTTTACTATTTGATTTAATTATTTCTGGATGATATTCATGATTTGTATTTACTTGACCAGTTTCATATCTTATTGTATTGAATGGATTATGATTTTTGGAGGTAAATGAAGTTTTAGAACAATTGGTTGTATTTGTATATTGTTTCTTATTAGTAGCCGATTTTAAAGTCAATAATTGGTTTATAGTTGTATCATATAAATGAGAGTCACTACATAGTGGATTAAATACTGATTTATCTACAGAACCAGACATACTGGAATTCATTAAATTTACACTTGATTGATGATTACCTGGATTCAAATGAAACTCACATGTAAGACCTAAATTCTGTGAACATTGATTATTTGTAGTTATTTCAGTAGTCTTTTTATTTAACTTCATTGGTAATATATGAAGGGAACCATAAAAATAATGATGTAAATGGTTTGTTGAATATTTCTCTTGGAAGTTTATGTTTCATTATGATATTATAAATATCATAATTCTATGAATGAATAACTTCAAAGGTTTATATTATAGATGAAATTTCTTGAAATTTGATTAGTTAACAGTTTTAACCAATCAACTAACTAAATTAAAAATCAGCCTCATTATTTAAGAACAGGTAAGCTAATCTCGTTGATAGTAAGTATACATAATATATTCATGTAATAAACGTCATTAGATTTCAGTTATAGACATAAACTTTTATATATTACTGGTAATTTTGACGAAATCATTCCTTTACATAGAATCATTGTAATCTGTTTCGCATCGGTTTAAAAGTATTTCTTTTATTTACATCTTATACTTAACAACCCATATCTTTCTTATTTGATTATCGTTGTCTTTTATCTAATGGATTCTTAATCTTATATAAAACAGTGTCAATCGATTCAATAAATTTGACATAATAAAGCTTTTTTCTTTGAGTTATCAGTATTTTTATTGAAAGAGAAATCATATGCAAACTAAAAAGGGCTACTATGATTCAAATCTATAGAACATTAATAAATAAATATGAATTTTTAAGAATACTTCTAAAAGTATAGTGATATACAAAGATCAAATACATATTTTAAGGTGAATATTGGTTTAGGTCAAGAAATAAGAAAAAAAAGAAAAAAACGGAGTATGATAGAATGAAGAAAATCTTGTTATGGATAGATATATTAAATTTTTTGTTTTGTATGTGGTGTGAGGGATAAAAAAGAAACCCTGTAATTTGGACGAGATACTTGTATTTCCCCGTTCAGTTCAACTAATCTATATATTATCAAAAGAGATTTTGTGGAGATTTAGTATTTTTCACTGTTGAAATCATGAGTCAATTGAAGCTAGACAACCATGGAAAACCTTGAAGTACTGGATGAGCTACTCGTCCTATTATGGGACTCCTCAGCAGTGCGCATCCACGATATCGCCTCGCGAGATTCGAACCCAGGGCTTACCAGTTTCGAGCCGGAGCCCTTAACCGATAGACCACTGAACTGACCGGCATATATATAATATTATAATAATATATATAATAATAATATATTCTGAAAATAATATTTACAGAATTCATGCCAGTTTACAGGCATGATCAGATTGTTATAAAAATCAACATTTAATATAGAGAACAAACATGAAATATAAGAATGTTTTCTGTTTGCTGGTTTAGTAATTGGTAAATAGTTTAAATATGGCATATATCACGGTAAGCCAATGCAACACCAGGGAACTTATCATTTTTTTATTAAGTGGATAGCCTGATGATTGATCAACATTGTTCTGTAAGGTTATTTCCAGAGCCAGAGCGAGTTATTATTAATTATCTACAACTAGAGAAAGTAAGATTAAAGCAAAGAGCACGGAACAACAAAACAATGATAGCAAGTAAGTGGTTAAACATTTAAAGTTCCTATAATCTCACTTGTGGAGTAAGATACAGTTGCAGGCGCTAGAGCATTTAATGCATTTTAATGCATTATATATATATAGATTATAGTTGAAAGTGTGAGTCAACTGAAGCTAGACAACCATGGAAAACCTTGAAGTACTGGACGGCCAACTCGTCCTATTATGGGACTCCTCAGCAGTGCGCATCCACGATCCTGCGTTCGAATCTCGCGAGGCGATATCGTGGATGCGCACTGCTGAGGAGTCCCATAATAGGACGAGTAGCTCATCCAGTACTTCAAGGTTTTCCATGGTTGTCTAGCTTCAATTGACTCATGATTTCAACAGTGAAAAATACTAAATCTCCACAAAATCTCTTTTGATAATATATAGATTAGTTGAACTGAACGGGGAAATACAAGTATCTCGGCCAAATTACAGGGTTTCTTTTTTATCCCTCACACCACATACAAAACAAAAAATTTAATATATCTATCCATAACAAGATTTTCTTCATTCTATCATACTCCGTTTTTTTCTTTTTTTTCTTATTTCTTGACCTAATGAGTATAATTCTAAGTATTTCTGTGAGGAAACTTCAGTATTACCTATTTTATTTTTGTCACTATATTCTAAATCAAATTCAATTTTAGGTCAATATTATTATCCTCTCATATAAATGAGTTTATGATTATTATGATATTTAGTTTGATTTTAACATCGTGTAGATAACTACAATATAAACATTTGGGTAATGTTAACTAGAAATAGTTATTAAAAAGTTAATCATTTGCTACAATATGGAACAAGTAATAATGAAACATAAAACAGTGTTGTTTAACCTTATGAATTTACTGAAAGTACTTTTAGTGACAAAACAAGTAACCAGATGTTTAGTTCACACCTTCAAAATATTCCATATCAAGTTCAATAATATTTTTGATTGTAAAAATGACAATGAGAAGAATTCATGTTGTAAAAAGGAAGCAATAGATAGGAGAAATGTTAATTTTATGTGATAAGTTATAAAACAGTTACATAATACATGCACTTTAGCCTTCAATCATTTGTTTTCATCTTTTGATATGTTCTGTGATTTGAACTGTCTCCTTATCTGGTCTTCATATGTTCTACCTATGCCGCGCTTTCCTTGTAATGAAGCTTTTCACATTGTTTTACAAATATGAGGCCGCGTTTTGCAAAATACTAATCACAAACGATTCTGTGAGTAGCGTCTACTACGATATTATTTCACAAATTTTTTAAAGTAATAAGCTGACTAAAAAGTCTTTTGTTAGCTGTGAAACCTAAGACTGTGACTGAGTACTGAACTAAAAGTATTTTACTACACTTGATATGTCTAAAGAAAAAACAGACAACGTAATTAAGAATAATTTAGTTTTTCAAGAAACGTCAATCATTGTCTCTTTAAAAAGATAAATTATTTGTCTAGATTTAGTAGTGCATACAAGTATAATTATTCTAATGAGAAAGAAATAATGATTATGATCATTTCAGGTAGAGTTGAAAATAATAAATATAGTTAGATAGATATTGTACAACCATCTCCAAATCCCATTGGTCTGTAACAAACGCGCACCTAACATGATTGGAATTGTCATTGCTTTCTACTAAAACTCTGGAAATCACCGCTCAAAATTATTTACTAATAGCCATATTATTACTCAATTTATAAAGGATTTGTGGAGATTTCGCTTACTTCTGAGGAGTACTTTTATAAAATGGGAGAGCTTTTCGGAGGTTCCTGGGTTTCAGTGGTTGTCTAATCAATGATATCAACTATGACAGTTAACATACTTACTTTATTTGCAGTACTAAACTCATATTCTCTATTTTCAAACATATACTTACTTTAGACCTAGTTATTTTAACTCATTCTTATCTGTTTTAAATCATACTTGTTTACTCAGATAAATGATATATTGAGTACGAATCTTTACTTAATTAGATAGTTGCAAAATAAGGTTATGTAAATAAGCTTTTTATCTTATTGCTTTCCTATTGCATTTATTAAGACATGCTTCTTACCGAATAGTCTACCTTAGGATTCATGTCAAATAATACACTGTATGATTGATAATAAGGCTTTTATGATTATCATAATCAAACACTTCACGATCATTATACTAGTAAAACATTCAAAATAATAATTTGTTGATTTCAAAAAACAAAAAAAAATTATACTCGTAACAATTATATAGAAAGGTTTTGACTCCTAAAATCAAAAAAAATATTATGATCAAGGAATCCATGAATTCTAGAAATTGATAGAAGCATTTATGATACACGAAATGCCTAAAATCTCCAATACGTTTAGTACAACCAATTCAATATTAAGCATCATCAATGTTATTTTTATTCTCAAGAGGTTAGTCGAATAGCTGAGAAGTAAGGTCTTGAATTGTGATTCTAGAAGACTTGGGTTTGGATCTTTCAAGGAACATAACTCCCTCACAATTTAGGTACACTTTGCTGAGAATTACCAAATAGCAAGCGAAGTAGTTTAGGCATAATTTCTTTTCTACTACTTCCTAGTACATAATATCTCTCTCAATAAACCCAGTTTTTCGAAAAACGCCCCAATAAATCAAAGGTAGACTTCATTTTGTCGGACCGGCAACTTGGTGTTTAAGATTTTCAGTTTTCATTTAGGTTCTATTGAAGATTTACACTAGTGATGTCACTGAGCCTATTACAAAACCAATTGCTCACGATTGCTGGATACACCAACTTTTTGATTGTAAACAAGTCCAGGATTCAATATTTATTATTGAATGGTAGTTAGGTTCACTTAATAGTTAATAATTAGTCCTGATTATTCAATGATCTTGAACCATTTCAAAATAGATATAGTAATCGTTAATTCCCAGAAAAAACATTGATTGTTATAACATATATAAACTTGAGTGCATATCATTTCCTCACAGAACTGTCAATAATATGAATAAAATAAATTTTTTTACATATTCCATTTGTAAGTCTTAGAAATTTGAGCGATGATATTACATAACCTGTTTCATTTATATTGTCATGACATGAAACAGTTTAGATTGATTTTTTATTTAATATACAATTACCACTTATCATAAACCTATTCTTATTTATAATAATAGTCGTAAATTCATTAAGTTACAAAGTATCTTTTTCATATATAGTTGAAATCTTAAGTCAATTGAAGCTAGACCACCATTGAAAACCTTGAAATACTGCTTGAAGGCCGTTTCATCCTATTATGGGACTCCTCAGCAGTGCACATCCACGAACCCGCGCTCGCGAGATTCAAACCCAGGACTTACCAGTCTCGAGCCGGAGCCCTTAACCGATAGGCCACTGAACTGGCATCCAACGGTGTTAATGTCTAACTTCAACTGATCCACGAAGTTTGAGCAACCATTCACCAATTGTCTTCAGTGAGTTGTTATCTCAAAACAGACGTGGTTTAAACTCCACTGGTCACTGCTTCTCACTAGAACTCCTAGATATGGTGGTTTAACTTCAAT